TAATTTATTTATTTTTTATATTATATAATTTAAATTTATAAATTTTTATTATTTAATTTTATTAAAATAATTTATTATTAAACTATTTAAATTATTGGTATAAAAATTTAAGTGTTAAGAGAACTAACTAAACAAGTGTGAAGTTCTCTCTATATGTTTAAGTTGTACATTTTTTTATTGTAAAATTTTTTCTCTTGAGACGTAGTCTTGACGGAAGAAAAACTCAGAATGTATAGACTTAATATAAATATAAGTTGGACCAAACATATTTACTTGTAGTCCAAAATACACATGGTCCAATGTCGGAAAGTCTTTTCAAAAGTTTCATCCTCTTTAAGACAACACCACTGAGCTGATATTAATTCAGTTGTCTTTGCTTGACTCTCTAGTTCCTCTTTCTAGCCATGGGCAAAGCTCCTTGCTGTGACAAAGCCAACGTAAAGAAAGGGCCATGGTCGCCTGAAGAAGATAACACTCTCAGAAGTTACCTTGAGACATATGGAACTGGTGGCAACTGGATTACCCTACCCCGCAAAGCTGGTCTCTGATCTATGGCTTTTTAGTTTCCTGTCTCTCTTTATTATTTATTTCCTCAACTTCATCCACTTAATGCAAAATCAATACTCTCTTTGATCAGGTCTTAAACGATGTGGTAAGAGTTGTCGCCTAAGGTGGCTTAATTATCTCAGACCAGACATCAAACTTGGAGGTTTTACCCAAGAAGAAGACAACATCATATGCGATCTCTATAAAACCATTGGAAGCAGGCATGTTCTACTCTCTTCACTATAATATGATTTTAATCCCTCAGTCTAAATGACTTCACAATCCTAAAAAAAAATATTTATTAGGAGTCTTTTGGATTATATATAGAGCAAAATTACAATAAAAGCTTTTATTATATTTTTTAACTAGCTTTTAATCTTGAAAAAAAGTGTTATTTAATTAAAACTAAAGTGAATTATATAATATAAATGGTTAAAAGAGAAGTGAGTCTTTAATATTAAAAATTAATTTATAATTTAATAATTTATATTTTGTAATTTAAATCATAAAACAACAAGTTTTTTAATCTTTCCTTGAACTAGTTCAAAAAGAAAATATTTTGTTAAAGATGGACAACTAAATTAAAACAGCATTTTTATTTTTATTTTTTGAATTTTTTGTCATGGGTGGGATTGAAACCCGTCCAGAGAAAAGAGATATGTACTTTTTCAATAGTATTAGTTATTGGATCACAAGAGCAAGTGTAAACAGTACTTTTATTTGGTAACCATTGCGGGAAAAAAAAATACAAATCGCTGCTGAATTCTTTTGAATGATTTACGTATTAGTTTAAAGCACAAGTTAGATTTTTGTATTTACAATTTTTTTAGTAATGATATAAGTATAATTTATTTATATAATGTTTTTAATAATTTTTATATATTATTAAATAACTAAATATATATAATATTATAAATTTTGATAAATTAAAAAAAAATATTAAATAATATATAATGTTATAGGAAAGTTTGTCTTTAATTTTTTATTTTTTTTTAATGTTAAGTTGTACAACATGACTCCTTGTCATCCATATGTCCACCCATATAACATGAGGCTCCTCTCACATGCTTTAACTTTACCCACTCATATCCCACAATATTTCTTTCTACTTATATGTCATGATATATATTTGAATTTAGTATTTTTTTTATACCCAATGAATAAATATATATAATCACTAAATTATTTAATTTGTTAGTTATATATTTATATATTTTAATTTTCCTTTCATTTGTAAACTCTCTATTCTCTATACTAATATTGTTTATGGGTAGTTGGTGTTGTTGCTAACGATCATTTTATACATTAATTCTACTTTACCATTTATGGATTTGCATATGTGCATCTTTTATTTTTCCAATAGAAAATCTGAATTCATTTTCCATTATATATTTTGGCTTGGGTTTTCTTCAATCCCACAAAACCCTTTTTGGTCAACGCCATTTTGGAGCATCAATCAGCGCTCTTTTTAAAATTTTGCCTTCCTAACACAAATTTTGGGTTCTGCCACTGCCTAGAACTAAGACTTTTTAACATAGGATCCATGGATTTTGATTTTGATTTTACTAACATCGAATCTTGTTGGATTAGATGGTCTACCATAGCTTCAAAACTGCCCGGAAGAACAGACAATGATGTTAAGAACCACTGGAACACCAGGTTGAAGAAAAAAATATTGTTAGGTGCAGCAGGAAAGAATGATGTGAAATTTTCAGGTTCCAGTGTCCTTCCTTGTCCTGGACCTAATAGAAACGTTGGAAAGAATTATTTGAACAACAGTTCCACCACTACAATATCATCATATTCCATGCACGATGAGCAAAATCCAACTGATTATCAATTTGGACATCTTCTAGGGCACATGGGAGTTTTGGATTTTAGCTCAACTATTGCATCGTCTTCTCAGAATGTGTCAAGCTTTTCCAGTTCATCATCTTCTTCTTCTGTTTTGGATCATCAGAAATGGTACTCGGATATTGAAGATGATCATGGAATCCTACTTGACTTTGGATTTGAGGCCTCTCATGATGATGTTATGAATTAATTACTTGCTTTTAGTAGAAACGAAGTGTTTAATGTAATAAAAAATTTAAAGATTAAGATGATCATCATAATGAATATTTATAATCAGTGTTTAATGTGTGCTCCCTTATTAGTGAAGCACATGCTGGTTTCCAGGCTAGTTGTATATTGTTCTGCAGGTTTTTCTTCCTGGACTAAGATAGTAATAACTAGAGGTGGCAATTTCTCTCGATTCTCATGGCTGCGTGGATCCACGTCACGAGGACAGGACGAGGAGGAATATTCCTTCCCGTGGGGCGAGGATGGGAGGAATTTTCTCTTTGTGAAATTTTGCAGGGAATTTTTCCCGTCCCGTAGGATCTCGTGAAAATTCTCATCCCCGCGAAAAATTTAAAAAATGTATATTTTAAATTTAATTTAACTTTTAAAATAAAACCCAAACCCAATTTAATAAAAATTAAATTTTACCCAACCCAACCCATCATCCTCCTTCCTACCCTAATTTCCTAACCTTATTATTTCCCTTTCTCCTTACTCACGTAGTGCAACCACAACCCTCACTTTAGCCCCTCACTCACTCTCGGTCTCGATCAGATAATCAAACTCTCACCTCAAGTTCAAACTTCTCCTCCCCTTCTTGCTTCTACAATTTCTCCTCACTTACTCTCACGGTCTAACCTTTAATTTTTCTTTTTTGTTGATTTAATTATTTATGTTAAATTAATTTTTATTTATATTTAATGAAAAAATACGTATTTTTGTATTAATTGACGGGGACGGGGACGGGAAGAGACTCCCCGACTCCGCAGGACCCGTTGACATCCCTAATAATAACTGACGACTTTGACTATTTAGAGTCATCACTAATCATCCACTCAGTTCAGTTGGTGATCAGTGAGGGATGGCAAGTCAGCAATGTCATACTAAAAATATCTCTCTCGATCGGAAACATGGATGTTGTATAAACAGCCATTCATTTATGTGTGCTGCATCAGCTCCTGCTATCTTGATTGAAGGCCGAGGTTAAATTTGATCCTGGGATGCTTGGTGAACTAACTGTTCATATTAGTTTCCTAAGAGGTAACTGTTCATATGAGTCTACCTTTTCTGGTTTCTCTTTTAGACCATCTGTTCTTTACTTCATGACTTTTGTACACCAACACGTGGGGTTTTTTTTTTTTAATGTTAAATGATGAGTTATATAATAATGTATAATATTTCTCCTCTTAAAATTCTATTTATTTCTCCCAAGGTTTGAATTCAGTATTTTTAACTTATAATTTCAAGCTCTCAACTACTTGAAACACTGCTTAGGGGTGGCATGTTCTGTTTTTGAGAGAATGGGCAAGTGACAATTACCCGCAGGCATGCCCTGGGTGTATGCAAGGAAAATTTACCTGATCTCCAAGAAGCTCTGTCAGCGTTCTCATTTAACTCAACCAGCACCATTGCAGAATCAGTAGCGCTGGAGACCTCACAAAACAGGTTGGAATGTGCCACCCAATTCTTCCCCACCAATGAGTAATCTGGAGCTCGTGACCCCAAATTCCAACCACTGCACTCTATCACAAATTCCTCGTATTTGAAAAAGGAAAATGAGAGTTAGTTTTTTTTGTCCAGTACTGTTTAAATTGCAAAATAAATTTTTTAAAAGATAATAAATAATCATCATTTTTAAATATTAATTAGTTTGAATTGCAAAATTAAGAGTATTTAAATGAAG